ATCACTGTCCAGAAAGTGTCGTATCTCTGATCCTCAGTCCCTCTGCTTCCGGCACTCTGTCCCCTGGAGATCCCGACCTTCCTGCCCCAATGTAAATCACCGCTGTACCCTGTGTTTTATCATCTTCCCGACCTAGCTGCGTTACCTGGTCTCGGCTGACCCCCAGTAGCTGGCTTCATTGACTTCAGATCCCCATGACTACTTCCTTGCGCATAGACCTGACTCATGACCTGACGCCTGAAGAATGACGCCAGCTTCGTGCAGGACAACGAGGCCCAACAGGCTTGCTGCCGCACTGACCGTCGGACCACGCGATCGAGTCTGCGAACGTCGCCTCGCCGGTGTATGAGCGGATCTACCCGCTCTCGGACAGCGAACTGGAACAGTTGACTGAGTGGATTAGTGACAATCTCAGCAAGGAATTCATCCGCAAGTCATTGTCAGTCGCAGGAACCTCCATCCTCTTCATGCGCAAGAAAAATGGGTACCTTCCTCTTTACATGGACGATCGCGGCTTGAATTTGGTGACGAAGAAGAACCGCCTTGCCTTGTCCGACGCACTCGATCGCATTCGTTCGACCCGAAACTATCTTGACGACAGACTCAAGTTCTCCGTGGCGCCGGAGGAGCATCGCCAGCAAGGCACGTCCGCGAGGTCTGATGGCAACCGCGCTGCTGACGCCACGTAACTTTTGGGCTTCCTCGCCCCACGTTCAGACTGCGCGCGGCACAGCCCACGCACGCCTCGCTTCGCCCTGGTTTCTGTCTCTTTGCAGGTAGTGTCCATGGAAATCGACGCTACGATGATGCGACATGAACACCTAGCGCATGAATGCACCCACCGTTACAAGCACAACCGTGCCTCCACTGCGGCCAACCACATCACCATCTCGACACCTGCCACCTCGTGAATGTAATCAAGACTGCGTCAGCTAATGGAGTGCAACAGCATGTCAGGTCACCCAGCAGGAGTACCTACTCCTGCTGGGCCCCCAGAAAACTGCCACCAACACCTCGATACAGCAGTCCCGACAGGCTGCCGCACCATCCAAAGCACCCGAACCGCCCGAACCGCGCGTAAATGTCCATCATCTGCTGACCGTCCACGATTCTGGACGGCACCACAGTTCACGGGGCCCGCGCCTACCTTGATGACCCCAAGGTAGCCCCGGACGCCCAGCACCTTCTTCGAGATTTGGGAAGGCTTCATCGAGGAGCTGCCCAAGCGCTTTGGCGACCCCAAGAACATTGCTAGAGATAAGAATCTCTCCTGACCCACACGGGTCTCGCCTTCGACTACGCCCGCCGCTTCCAGAATCTTGCGGCTCGGTTCTATTGGAATGATCAGGTCCTGCAGCAGATCACAAGATCGCCGGCGGCGAAGACCGAGACAAGGCTGCGGCGTCGATTGGCGTACTTGTTGCTTGCTGCTGAGCATTAGTGAGTGCGGTGTGCGCTTGCCCATGGACGTGGTGCACGTGAGCGACGAAGTCACTAATTCTTAGCGGCAAGCAGCCAATTACACGCAGGGAATGGCATGGAATGCGGGTAGTGAGCGAACGAAGACCGACCGGGGTGCGTTGAGGGGGGGGGTCGAGGTTCTATTCAAAACCGCAACGAGATACAAGCGGAACGAGGCGAAACCGAAACAGGATGTGGAGCATTTGCATCGTGCTTGGGCTTCGGTGCAAAACTGATGCGGCTGCGCACCTGAACAGGTTCAGTTGCCATCGGCTGCTCTCCGCTCCTCGGGACTGCTCTGGCGAGACCTTTGCACCGGTGACATTTCTACAACCTTTCAAGTCCCTTACATAACTTCCTTATATATCCACCCGTCTTTGATCGAGACCCAAATTGTAAATGTAAGTCGACTGATGTATTCCAAGTAAAGTACATATGGACTCACCCAGCGAAAGCAATGGTACCGTGACTCTATTGTTGCCTCGCAAGGTATTGGAGCAATGAAAGAAGGAACAATAGTTTTCTCAAACACATTTCCTTAGCCACGTCAACTGCCAGGCGCGCATCTGTGCCTATAAAAGCGCCTCCTAGAAGTGATCGCTCCACCTCGTCCACTTGCATAGAAGATGAGACTGTGACTCCCATCGTGCTCAACATTCTCACACCAGTATATCGTGCCGTAATGATGAAATATCCGTCGATATACACCACGAAACTCAAACATGCACAGGCTTCACGGCCTCTGTGTACAAATTCCTTGCTGTATATATGAATAGAGCAACCCTCCTCTAGAGCTTGGTATACACTTGCCTGATGAGGATGTGCTCTTCCCACGCTTCTGCATCTACTTGCAACGACCTCGTAAAGAGGTGGGAAGCAACCACCTTGATGAGATCCCCTTCACTTGCAAGGAGCCCAAGAGGGGAAGAATCGCACCTTTCTAATTATTTTCGCTGAGAAAGAAGCATGATAGTGCCTCAAAATGCACGACAGCGACAACTTGCCGGTGTTGTATGCCTGCAATAGTCAAAATCAAGTTGCATATCCTCTTTTTCGTTTCTGCTTCTTTCAATGCAGGCCACTGAAGCTCACAGCTGTAGAGATCTCGCGGGAACTAGTTTCAAAAGTTGTGGTAAGTGGCTTCTGAATGTCCCAAACCCATACCGGAGGAAAATCTTTGATAGTCATCGCTGCGAGAGGAAGTTGCCAGTTTCAGGGAGTTCACACTCTTGTCTTCGGTGGTCGTGCATGCTACAACGGTTCTCGCTTCAGGTCTGTTGCCCACCAATAGATAGCAAAAGGCGTTGAGACTTTCGCTTATGCAAGCGCTGCACCGTCAGTGTCACCGCTCGCGCCAAAGAGAGACTGCAGCTGCCATTTTCGATACATGAACCCGTGTTTGTGAAGCTGCGCGCTGTAGAAGGGATGTAACATGAGTAATTCAGCATGGCTAGTCGCCCCCTAGAGATGACATTGCTTGGTGCGCTTTCAACGGCGGCTCCCTCATGCTGCAGGTATGGCGAAATGACACAGGCGGGAAAATGAGCCGTATGTCTGGTGGCCGCAGAAGTTGACGAGGGCAGCCATGTATCTAATCCTTGAAAAGACAAAGCATATGGTCAAGCTGCATCCCCTTTCCAGGAATGACTTGATAGACCCGGATCTATCTTCTGTCAGCAGCTGCACACTCTTCAGTAGATACAACGAACGCAGCTCACGGCATGCTCTCGTGCTCCGGTCTAACTCTCTGACATCAAGTAAAACACCATTAAAACAGAAGCAAAAAGTCGGTAGGGAGCGGCTCCTCCTGCGAGATCGTCGAGGGGGTTGAAGATGGAGTCGCCATCGGCACTCGCTTCCGTGCACGGCATGCGCTTGTTATCGAGCACGATTCCTTGAAAAGGGTGGATTGCCATGATTCTGAGGTCGAGTTCAGCCTTCAGCGAAGTGGCGTTACTAGCAACACACTTTAGGAAACAAGATTGCTATAAAGCATTGGGATGAAATGACAAGCTTCCCTTGACTGGAGTGGGGATTGCCTTGGTTTGAAACGCAACACGGTCGCATGCGGGTTTTTCGACTCCTGTATGAAGGCCATTGATAAGGCTTCGAGCTGATCACAGGAGCCAAAAATCCAAGACTGCGTCGCAGCTGCGCCTTGTGCTTCCCAAGGGTGACGGAACGAGCAGACAGTCTCCAGGCTCGCATGCGAAGAGTGGAAGCTATACGATGCGGTTTCAGGAAGGCGCGGCAGGACGGTATTCAGATTGATGCGGTAGTTTCCCGGCTTGCAATCAAGGACACCCGATGAGTCCTTTTAGGCTTCGTACGTGTCCACCATCGTTCAGTCTAACTGTCAACGGGTCGCATGAAGATGAGGTGGTCTGGCAAGGGAAAGAGCATGTCACCGCGAGAGACGATGTGTCACCCACCCATCATATCTGGCTGATGCCTGGCTCATCCCTCGCTGGTGTCACGGGTCAGTGTCCCATGTTCTCACGACTTTGTCACCCTCTCACAAGCGGTGCAGGGATTAGGGTTGTCCTAAGGGATGGATTGTCTACATTAGTGCCGAGGCGGGACGGGGTGCCGCTTGGCTGTGCAAGAAAAGCAACCCAAGCACGCCATCCAGTCCAGTCATCCATCACTCGTCCAACTCCTTCGAAAACTCGCTCGATAATGCGATGATAACAGACTCTCGCAGGGGCTTCGGACATTCATGGTCAGCCTTCCAGTATGCGCCAATATGTATACAGGGCTTGAACACTGATGAACTTGTGAGCGGGCTATGAAGATATGGAGCGTGTGGGGGAAAGTGGGTCTGGTGATGAGAGCTACATTTCCGGCTTCTCCTCAGTCAATGAAGACGGAGAGATGTGTTTGTTGGTTGTTGCCATGCCTTGTTGCTTGGTGAGATTCATAGAGAAAGCACTTGGTGGGATACGTGAACGTGAAGAGGATGAGCGAGGGAAGCGGAAGCTCCTAATTCCGAATTCCGAAATTGCGGAGCACGTTTCCACGCGACGCCTCGCACACGCCTTCTGCACGTGCGCTGGTGGGCGGCTGCGCGCCTTTTCTTTCCGGGTTATTTTGTCCTGGTTTGAAGGGAAACTCTCACTCGGCCGAGAAAACGATCTTCTGACCGTAAACGCGAAACAAATCACACAAGTTTCTGCTTCGTCCGAGTTTCAGATCTCTATTAGAGCTGGTTTGGTAACTTTTCTTCGCCCTCATGCCAAACCTATCTCTTCTAGATATCTCCACCTCGAGATTCTTGCTTGCTACGCTTCTTCTCGACGCTCCATTCTTCCCAGCGGACAGCTTGGCCCACCTTCCTATCATTCTTCCATCCCCTTGAACGCTGCATCCGGCTACAGTTTGCTCGCTCAGTCGAATTAAAATGGTTGCTGCTAACGGTGTAGTCAGCGCGCTGCCGGAGGGACACTTCCTCTTCACCTCGTGAGTGCTGATGCTACAATCCATGTCTCGCCTGGTAAAGCGTCATCCATCGATCCTGCGCTTTCCACGCCTGCTCAACAGGTCAACTGACGGGAACTACCCCTTTGCAGCGAGTCGGTTGGTGAGGGGCACCCTGACAAGATCTGTGACCAAGTTTCCGATGCCATCCTCGATGCCTGCTTGGCACAAGACCCAAACTCTAAAGTCGCTTGCGAGACGGCGACCAAGACCGGTATGATCATGGTCTTTGGTGAGATCACCACCAAGGCTCAGCTTGACTACCAGAAGGTCATCCGCGAGGCCATCAAAGAGATTGGCTACGACAGTTCCGAAAAGGGCTTTGACTACAAGACCTGCAACGTCCTCGTCGCCATTGAGCAGCAGTCGCCAGACATTGCCCAAGGTCTCGACCACGGC